TCACCACTTGTTATGTTCTACTTTCATTATACTGTTTTAAGGGCAAATCATGGGTTCGAATATGTAGAACATAAACGTTTTTATTCCTTAAACTTAAAGAATCACCACCGATACATAATATTGCATGGATATATAAAACATCAAAGAAGAAAGAAAAGAAAGAAAAGAATAGAAAGATGAACAGTTAGATATAGATAGATGTCATATCATAACACAGGTATATTTTTAGATTGATAATCATGTATCATTTGAGATTCATAACGTGTTGACGTTAAGTGATCAAATTTTTGTTGTCCATGTGAAGATGTTTGACTGGAATCAAAATGATATGGTTGATAACCTTGTGGTTGTTCATTTGATGTTGATGGATATGAAAATACAGTTGAAGGACGATCGTTCTTAAAATAACAAAAAAAAAAAATATTATTTCATGTTAAAAATTGCGTTGCTTTGATAGTTTGCAAAAAAAAAAGATTTACTACTCATATTACTCATATGAAATTTGAATCATTGTATCTAATGATTATTTTGCATATTAAATGTATGATTTGTTTTTACATAACAAAATTAATAAGAAGAAGTTTTCAAGGTTTTTCTTCTCGGCTATTTTTTGAAAACGGATACTTTATTTTTTTTTAATCTTATCAATTTACATTTTGAGTTTTGGGTGTTTTATTGACAGATGATGACGATGATGATGTTGAGTCTTGTCTTGAAGTAAATGGTGGTGGTGGAGGTGGAAAAAATGTTGGACGATTGTTATCATGAGAAGATGTTTGATGTTGAATACCCATCGTTTTATTTGTTCTATTAATTTAAAAAATACATGTTTTTGTTTTTTGTTTTCACGTTTTTAATTAAATAATTCATACGTTTCCTCTTGTTGTTCTTTTCGTTTTGATCTAAAAAAAAAGAATCGAAACAATTTTTTCTACAATTCAAAAAAAATAGATTAACTTACTTCGAAGTAAATAAATTCGAAAAACGAAATCGATGTTTTTCTGATTTATTTAATTTATCATCATTCGTTGTTTCTAAATGAAAAAAAAGAAAGAAAAAAACTAAAATATCTCTATTTGACCATCTGTTTATTCTCAACACTGAGCGTTAGCTTCTTGTTCCGTGAGTAATGAGAACCTCTGTAATATGAACAACATATGTTTTATGACACACGTGCGGAACTCGAAGAAGAACGATTTTGAAACCTGATTGAGACGTACTTTGATATTCTCACTGAAATTTTCTAATCGAAATTATATAACTATCCTGTAAATACGAGATACTTTTTTTTTTCGGTTTTTTGTATTCACTGACTAACGCACCTTACACATTTCTCTGATTACTAGAGCCCATTGGATCCAAAACTTTTGAAACCAAACTGACAGGCTCTACATTTAACTCTTACAAAAAGCGGATAGACTAATTGTGGATTTAAAAAAAATAGACAACAGCCACAGTGTTACATCTCGTCGTTTTTGTGTTAACAGCTAGTAATATTAAATCATGTCAATAGGTGTTGATTAACTTTTGATTAAAAAATTTGAATAAAGATCATCTCTCATATTGACGATAGAATAATTCAGATCTTACCATCCTCATTGACATTCTGATTATGACAATAAGATTTATCAACAGCTTGTCGAAATGAATCATTACATGCTCGACCACGTAATTTAGCTTGACGTTTTCGTTCTTCATCATTAATAATTATAACATTTGGTGAATCATGTCCTTCAGCTGTTGTATGAATACTTTCAAATGACGATGAACGAATAAGAACAGGTGATGAACGATTATTATTATTATTTTTTGAAGATGATGAATTAGGCAATGCTCGTGTTGATTGTTCTATTTACAGAAAAATAAAAACAAACATAAATTAATCTATGAAATAATATATATATATCTTTTTATAAAGAAACAAAAATACATGCTCATTATAAATATTATGTTTTTTTTTTGTTCAGAAAAACATGCTTTTTCAAAATATGAAATAGAACATATTGTTGTCGGGCTTTTTTTTTCATGTATGCAAAACATGCAAAACAAACGAATTTTATTGAAAAGAGACCTGATTGTCTCGTAACAGAATATCGACAATGATTATCTATCTCATTTAAATCATCATCATCATCAGATAAATCAATGACAGGTGTAAGAATTTCAATCGATGCTGCAGTCGATAATGGACATGATTCTGCAAATTAATACAATTGAGAAAAAGAAAAGCTTGATTATCGAACGTGACATAAATTTTGCATATAACTCTATTCAGAAATATGATAAAACATTGATTTTGTCATTCAAATAAAATATTCAATGTTTTTTATTATTTTTCTGAATGGTGTTACATGATGTATAAAACAAAGAATGTTGCAAAACTTTTGATACAATCGATAATAAAAGCGAATATATATATATATACATTATTTATAGGTGAAAAGAAATATAAAGCTAATTTACAAGAAAATAAATTTTACTTGACTTACTTCGTTCGTTTAGTGTTCGACCTTCATGAAATGATCGTTGTTTCCATTGAATAACTTGTTTATTTGGTTGATTAGTTAAACGACGTTTTTCTGAGACACTTTGACGAAATGGTGTTTCACGTTCAAATGGATTGATACTAAATGATTTATTTATACATTATTTGAATTAATCTTTCTTTCTGATTTTTGAATTTTTGCGAATTGATAGTCTCTATTCAGCTTCATATAGGTTTTTTTTTCTATAAATAGGAATCTATAAGGATCAAAGAATAAGACTCTACTTGCCATCAGAACTCTTTATGAACAAAAAATTTCATGTGAACAATCTTCGGTTTGGTTTTTTTCTATAAGTATTAGAGAATGTTGAACTGATCTAAACATGCATGTAAAGAATAACGATAATTTTAGATTCATTTCGATTTTTCCGGTCGAAGCTGATCTATTTTCAAAAACTGGAATCTGTGAGAGCTAAGTCTTTCTCGAACTCGAAAATACCGGCAAACCTTCTATAAACTCACGAGGGAAGTACCTCAACTGTCAAATCGCTTTCGAGTCGGGAGTATGTGCGTAATGTAGGTCCTAATGAGCTATGAATACCCTGAAAAGGATTCGTGCTGCTAGCTTATTACTGCCGAGATATTGCATTTTTACGGTATTTTTAAATAGAAAGCNACTTTTTTCACAGGATAGCATTTGTTGCTTTCTCATTATACACGTGTCGAATAAGTAAAACTATCTTTTTCTAACGATTATATTGAATAAAAATGAATTAAAACAAAGATTTGTTGGAAAGACTGCTGAAAAATATAACTTTTTAGGGGACATAATAGAAGACCCCGGGTCTTCTAATGTGTCAGGGGCTTTAGTTTTGCTTTATCCCGTTTATATAAATACAATTGAAGATTGTGGTGTTACTTTTGATTTGATATATTTTGTTGATCAAATTAACTTTTTAATTTTCTTTATTTTTAAGCATCGAGCGATAGAAAAATGAATAACAAGAAATCATTGTACATTGATCTTTTTTTTCCTGAAAGTATTCAATAAATAGCTAAAACCTTGAGACTTCATTTTGTTGATGTACACAAAAGGTGGCAAATATTGATGGAAAAAAAAACTCGATCCTAGACCCACAGCTCTCTATCAAGATATTATTCGTTTACTCACAACATGACACAACATAAATACTAATCTTTATTGTTTAAATAAAGAATAATAAATGGATCATTGATCATATTCACATACTATAAAAGACGATGTTTTCAATTTTGATCGAGATTTGCTTGTTATCAAAAATAGATTTTTTATAGACAGTAACAGTCAATAAAACTGATTATGTACACCTCTTTCTTTCTTGACAAGGTAATCAATAAAAAACAAATATTTATTGAGTCGATTCGTGAATATAATCTTTCTTGACACTTTCATTCTCAATTGCTATCACATTTCAAAAGGATTATTTCACATTATTAATAAAAATAATAATCTAACATATAAGCAAAAGTTATTTTAATGTTGGAATTATTCAATTAATAAACTAATCGACGTACGTCTCTTGCAAGATGTTTTTCTTTCCAAATATATGATTATTGTATGAAAAAAAAAACAAGATACTCTTGAAATTGTGGTTGTCAAAATAGTAACAAGCCAAAAAAAGTATTCATATTTAAAATTGAGTGCGCAAAAAGATTGTATGGAACATATACGAATAAATTAAATTTTTATGATTTGTTTTTCTTAGTAACAGGCTATTTCAAGCATAATAAAAAAGATATTGATAAAGAAGACTTATTTTATTTGACTTATCAAAGAATAATTTGTATTGCAAATTAAGATGTAGGTGTCAAACAATAGATTTCTTTGTTTTCTTTCTACTATCCACATAACTATTCAGGTAATGAATCATTAATTTTTTTATAATGGGTTGTCAAGTCAACATGTTTGATACAATAAAATTGATGACAACGCTTTGCAGAGGCGGTTTTTTTTTACTACCCAAATGTCCTTAAAAGAGTCTATAGTAATATTACGCAATTATTCTTGCGCAATATTACATAATTGTAGACAGAAAAAAACACTTTCTTACATTAAAATGACAAAAATGCGGAAACCAAGAGAAAATTATCGATAGAAACCTTTTGCGAGTTCTTTTTGCTTTATCAGTTCTGTTGGTATTACATCATTTTGTTAAGATGATTCATATTTTTTTTATTCCGCTTTCTTCCTTTCCTTTTGGATATTTCCATGCTCTATATAGGACACAAGAGTATAAATACTCGAGACATTTTACTATAGCTATTCTTTTATTTATTGAAGACAAACACTTACAAGTTTATTTTCTTTTCAATTCAGATTATTATAGATACATAACGATGACTTCGCGACTCAAATCAGCAATTTTACGTCATACTAACTCAATAAAACATACAAGCTTTGGCGGGCTAAAAGATACTGTACGTTCTCATATTCCTAATACTACCAACGATGCTTCTTACATGTCAAATGAATATATTCATTCAAGTTTTTTCGATGATGAAAATTACTTATCAATTATCAAATGTCTTGATGGAGGTCATGAAATCGCCAAAGATAGTCTTGAATATATGCAAGATTATAACGAACTTCTACAAGAACATAGTGATAATCTTAATTCATATTCAAAAAAATGGAAATCAAAAATAAAACAACAATCATCAATTTCATCTTATCATACAACTAAACTTGCTCAACGTGAAACAGTTTCTACACCTAAACGATTTGCTGAAGTTTTACAAAATCAATATGATGCTATACTTAAAGTTACTACTACATATCGTACACAAATAGAACGAATGTATCCAAATGAACGTCTCGGTACTACCCATAAACATCATCGTACTGAAGCTATGAAAAATTTATTTAAAGAAGCACGTTCTGCATTATGTAAATTATCAAGTAAACTTGAAACATTACATGAACAAGAAAAAAAAGCACAACATGCACTTCATGATGCTAATGTTCAATGTGAAAATCTTAGTTTCGATCCAACAGCAAGTAAAACAAAAATTTCAAATGCAAAAGATAATCAAAGTAAACGACAAGATAAATTAGATAAAATTAAACAAGAAATTGAACGAACAGAAGAAGAATATAATCACGAATATGAAAATTATCGTACGCAAGCAATGGATATTTATGAAAAATGTCGAATATTAGAAAAAGAACGTTTGGATTTACTTGGAGATACTTTAATTAAATTCAATGAAGCAGCTTTTTCATCGAATTATTTAGATGAACAAGATGAAATCTATGAAAATCTAATGTTAAAAATCAAAGTTGAACGAAATTCTTTGGAAGATCTTAACTTTTGGGCAAAAACTTATCATGTTTATGATTCAACAACATCTCTATCATCTGAAACAAATAACAATGAAAATATCTCATCTCAAACAACTACTCAAAAAACAAAAAAATCTCATAAAAACGAAACTGAAAATCTGACAACAAAAGAAGAAAACATACAAGAATCAGTTGCTGAAGCTCAAGAAGAACAATCACAAGCAGATACAACAACCTCAACAAAAACTAAAGTAAAAAAGAACAAAAACAGTTCGAAAACTGAACCAACTACAACAAATTCTACGGCATCTAATCAAGAATAATAAACAAAATTGGTAATGATTTAAATATGGAAATGAATTAAATTTTAGATTATTATTATGTTTTGTATTTTGTAGTCAAGAGTTTATAAATTTTTGTACAGTAACTGTTTTTCTTCCTCTTCTCATGTTGTGATAAACTCAGTGCTCTAGTTTTTTGTGATAATAAAAATGTTATTTTGTTTTATATGCTGAATAAAAATTATCTTTTATTTGACAATGAAGTTTGACATTTTTGTTTTTTTTATTATATAGTTTAAATATGAAATGTTGTTTTTTTTTTAAAAAAACATTTTAAAGTAAATATATATGAAACTCGTTTATTACGCATCGTTGAGAAACTCGAATTTCACTTGTAGAATGATTCATATTCATGCCACTCTTTCAAATAGTAATCAAATTAAAAAAAATTTTCTTTACTATTCGAACTTATAATGATGTAATTCAGTTACAATCTTACGTCAGTCAGAATATACTAGAATATTTATTATTAAGCGTCTAAATGATTCATTATGATGCCATAGACAATATGAGAGATTAACCTTTATGAGTTAATAATGATGACGTGTTGTAGTGCGCGAAAATTCTTCTATACATAAACAGTTTTACTGTATTCAATTTTTATAAAGAATATATATGTGATGATGAAGTATTAAGATAAAATCATAGTTCAGATATTTTCACAAACATGAAAATAAACATTAAAATACTTGTTTTAATTCAACATAGCTGTGCATAATAGAAACATCTATACTCTTCATATATATTCAATTGTAAATAAACAGAATTTTTTGATAATAGAATTTTATCACATCTAATTGTAGATCTACGTTCAAAAATATGAATTTTTCTTTGTATATATATTTTGTTTTTTAAAGCTTGGAAACTTTTATATTGATATGTGTAGAAATCGTTTTTAACAATATTTATGAATTTTTAGCTTTGAAAACAAAAAAGTTTCAATAATTTTTTTCTATCAGAAGACAAAAATTTAATTCATTTAATGAAAACACAATGACAATGCCGAAATTTTATTTTATATTATGATATTTAAGATAGTTTATGCAAACATGAGAAGATACTAAGTCTATTAAAAAATACATTTTAATATCTAATTTCGATATAGAATCATTAATCTGTACAATAGATTCGATAAGAGAGTTCTTAATGGGCTCGGTTGAATGCATAGAAATAATTTCACATGCAATTCAATTTTTACCCAGTCTTTTCTGGATAAGCTACCTTCACTACCAGCCACTTCCTACGAATTCTAGAAGAAATACACTATCAACAAGGATCATAAAATGATTCTAATCTCTACTAACATCCAGAATCTCTCTTATGCTCCGCACAAATATCCCAACTAGTCTTCAGTAACACCGATAGAAACATTCAATTTACTCATTCCTACATGATTGAATTAGCTTTTAAAGCATATTTACTCTGAAAATACGGCTAAATACAAAAAAATTTAAAATTATGCAAAAAAGAAAAAAGAACAGCATTCTCGTAATATTGAATTGAATCATAGAAGCAATTTCACAAGCTTAAATTTGATTTTGTAAGAGCATAAGAAAGGCATCATTCTTTATCTAACAAACTGACCGAAATAAGGTGTGGGTATTTTTTGTCGTCCTCTTCATTCACAACAACACCCACAGTCACATCATACATTCAATTTCGAACCACTTATAAGATATCAAATTATACGTGTGTCATGCTATTACATAATCTGATTTGAATCTATTAAATTATTTATATAACTCAACTCAATATTACGAAATACTATTCAAATTATTTTTTTCGCATATTTTAAAACTTTTTTTTTGTATTCAAGACTATTTTCAAAATAAATATGCTTAAGAAGCTAATTCAATCATGTAGAAATGAGTAGATTGAATGTTTCTGTGGATGTTAGTGAGGAGAAATGGTATATTTTTTTCTGGAATTTATAGAAAGTGACTATTAGTGACGTAAGCATAGGTTATAAATATCCATGGTCAATGTACAATTTAGTTTATATTAACAATTTGTCGACAAAATGCCTTGATGCAATTGCAACACTGTAAATTATTCTAGTAGGCTACGTAAACCAATAGCATTCATAAGTCAAGAGACTTTGTATATCGACAAGCTCCTAGTTTCTCGGTATATTATTAAAAAGAATACATGGATAATACAGTAGAATCTCTCTCGTGTGAACGCCATCGCAACCATTGAAACGTATTCACTATACGAAAGCTGAAACATGATTTGCTGTGAAATGAAGAAAACTTTACACAAAATCCACTTCTATGTTGGTCATAGACAAAGACTTGGCTATCGATTCTCTTATTCATCTATTTTCATTTGAATGATGTGAATAAAGAAATTTTTTAAGTAAAACACAAAATTAAACTACTTTCACAGAGAATATTTTGATGTTGTTTATCTTTTTTTTCTTTTGAACTACTATCGGCGCCAGAATTCAAGGCAGTCGGATGTTTTTTAAATAACTGTTGATAGGAACAAGATAGAGATCTGCGATTTTCACCGTTTGATAGTCAAGATCCAGGAGCATATTTTCATAAGCAAAATCGTTTCTGAGAAAAATTTCGAACATCGACTTTTTAGAGGATTTCTGAAAACTGCCATAACAGTCTATTGATTTTTTTACATATTTGGAATCAGCATCAAAAACTGAGTCGAATCACGTATGTTTCGATTCTTTTCACGAACTTTTTTTTTCGTCAAAAAATTCCCTCCTGCTCTCCATGAGGGGTAGGTCAAAAAATGAAGTCAGTCAAAACTCCGTTTTTATTGTTTATTCATTTGCCATTTTGTGTTCTACTAGCATTTTAGAAGCTCCAAACTTGCTTTCCGTTGTCCAAGTGACTTTTTGACTGATTTTATTTTGTGATCGACTCCTCAGGAGGACCAGGAGTGAATTTTTCGAGGAACAAAAGTTTGTGAAAAGACTCGAAACATACGTGATTCGACTCAGGTTTTGATGCTGATTCCGAATATGTAAAAAAATCAATAGACTGTTATGGCAGTTTACAGAAATCTAGCGTGGTTTTCCAGAAATCCTCTAAAAAACCGATCTTCGAAATTTTTCTCAGAAACAATTTTGCTTATGAAAATATGCTCCTGGATCTTGACTATCAAACGATGAAAACCGCAGATCTCTATCTTGTTCCTATCAAAAGTTATTCAAAAAACATCCGACTGCCTTGAATTCTGGCGCCGATAGTAATTTCTTTTTGTTCTTGTTGTACAAACCATATATACACTTGGTTGTCTAATTTTCAATCTAATATTTTGATTCTGATTTATTTTATAACCACTAAAATATTCTATTTTATGTTTTAAACTATGTGATACAGAGTTGAGTGAAGTATTTTATATTTCATCCAATTAATGTTGTGATAAAACATTAACATCTTTATTATCATAAATTAGTAGTATTTCTTCTTGCATAGGAATATAGTGTCGTGACATCATTCTTTACTTTAAACGTACGGTAATAGAATAATACACAAGAGATGCATTTACTCGTAATGCATAGAAAATAGGTGTCAGAAAAGAAAAAGAGATTAAAAAATATATTCACATTAGAGAAATTCTAACAGCAAAAAACAGATCACAAAAAGTGTTCACTGTCTGAAGTGAGGAGATATTCAGTTTAGAGAAAGATATTTACGACAAAAATCGCTTCGTTAAACTCAATACCACTCATAATTAGGAGTTGTTCACTAGTAGAGGTTTTACTATGCATGACAATTGTAAGAAGTTTTGTGTTTTATTCAAGATTCAATCCATTGGTTATCATTAATCTAAATGTGAAAGCTCATAGCTCATGAGTGTCTATCACAATATTGGATTAACTGAGTGTCCATTGAAAACTCTGGTTGATGAATAAATTTACCCTCATCTGTTTATGATTTTGGCTTACTAGATGAAAACAAAACTCTGAACTATTGATTTATGTATCATTTTGTACACTTTTTTCTTTGTCTAAATATTTATTAAACATTGTAAATTTTAATCTTCTAATTAAAGTATGAATTGTATTGTTCTGTATCTTTTCAGATCAATATTTTCGAAAAACTATGTAATGTATACTATGAAAACGAAAGAAAAATGATCGAATTTTTTTTTTGATACATTTCGATGTGAGGAATTCTACATATAGTTATTTAAGTTCTTTTTTTTCTAAAAACTTCATATTTCTGTACATGATGATTTATTCAAGACATTTTTTTACTAATATTCTCATAAAGGATTTCTTGCACAATAATAATGATTATTCTCGTATATTTTCAATTGAGAACTCTGTGTCACTCACAGTGAGTTATTTATTTGGGTTGTAAATAAAGAACGTCGGTGGGATAAAGTTGATATTGAGAGAAAAAAAACCTGGATTAATTTTTCTGTTTTCTGAGCGTGTCATGTTTTCGTTATTCTGGGTTTTTTTTATCAGTCGACAATCATTTTCGACAAATCCATTCGTCAATTTAGCGTCATTTTCATTTCTTTTGTTGGATTATTTCTAGGCAAATCGAAAAACAAAGGTAGTTTTTCCCTTTTCCCCTCTGTCTCTCCCTCTTTATATATAAAGTCTTGATGCAATTCACTAAATTCAGTTTAGTATTTATTCATGTCTCTTTAATAAATCCTTTTCATCTTATATTATAAAACATCATTCAAAAGTCAATCCACTCTTCACATTCGTTATTACACATTGTAAAACTACAACGAATCTTATGGCCTCTGCAGGAAATGTGAATTGTCTTGCTGTTAATCGTCAAAGTATTCGCAACAAAAGTCCTAGTACAGTCGATGCATACTATGGAAAAAGTTTTTTTGATGATGAAAATTATCAATCGATTCTCGAATGTCTTGATGGTGGTAAGTTTTCTTCAACATTAATTCATTATCGTGTCTCTTTCACTTTCTTTTCGTCCTAGGCTATCAAATCTTAAAAGATTTACTTGAATATATGGAAGGTTATTGCACAGTTTAAAAAAAAAATAATTCAAATTTTATTGCGTATTCAAGAAGATGGACTTCTAAAGTACAACAACAACCTTTAATTTCATCGTATAATAAAACTAAAGATGTACAATTAAATATAATTCGTACACCTGAACGTTATGCTGAACTTATAGAAGCTCGTTTTGAGAAGATTCGAGACATTATTACTACATATACTAGAGAAATGCAAAGAATATATCCACGCACACGTTTACGTTTTACTCGTAAGCATTATAAAACAGATGAAATGAGAAGTTTATTTCAAAGTGCATATTCATCATTATTCTATACATTGAATAAACTTGAACAACTACGTGAACAAAAAGAACTAGCCGAAAATGCTCTATGTCTTGCTGGTTATCAATGTGAAAACAAAATTGAAAATGCAGAGGATAATTATATGAAACAAGAAAAACAATTAAAAGTCATTAAAGAACAAATCGTACAAACCAAAGACGAATGCAATCAAGAAAAAATATTGTATCGCAAAAAGGCAACACAGATTTATGAAGAATGTCGAGCATTGGAAAAAGAGCGATTGGATTTAATTGGAAACACTTTAATCAAATTCATTAAAGAAGCATTTTCATTTGAAAATGTAACTCAACAACGTCAAATCTATGAAGATCTCAGTTCAATGCTGCAAATTCAACAAAATTCATCTCAAGATCTTGATTTTTGGGCACAAGCTTATGGTGTTTT